CATTATATTTTAATTGTTAAATCAAGAAAAATATCATAACATGTATTAAATTGAACATATACCAATTATTTTCCTAAACAAATACATATCTTAACGTCACAAATATTAATTAAAATGATTACAAGTTTGTTGCTTCTTACAATTGTCATCTTCATTGTACAAATCTTAGTAAGAAATTTAATTATAAATAACAGTATAGTGTGAAAGCACATGTCTATAAGAATCTTCAGTGTGAAAGCAAAGTGATTGAGAATCTTTAATATATAATTAGTCCTACTTAGATTACTTACATTCAGATCAAAATTAAGAACATGTTTGATGAAACTTGTAAATACTTAAGTTTTTTGATACTATTCATGTTTTATAAATTTAAAATTTTTTTAAAAAAATTTATATTTTTTAATTTTTTTTTAATTTTAAAATGACCTAATAAATTTTGAAAAGTTTCAAATTTTAATTTTTTTTATAAATTTACTATTTACTCATTTTTTATTATTTTTAAAAATAATTTTTAAATTTTTTCTCTAATAAAAATTTATATTTATGATTCATAAACAGCATTAAAAAAATAAAAATTTCAGGAAACTCCACCAAACTTGGCCTAAATCCCATGCTTAAAAGTTAAAACATTGGTCTCCTGCCAAGATAAAATCCTACGTGTAAAGACATTCAAAACGGCTTCATTATGTCGACATTCAAGCTTCACATTATTACATTTACCGCACATAACTCAAAAGCTGCAACAGCTCGGGAACTAGATCAACTTATATCTTTGGCATTCATGTTCTCTTCGTCTCCCCTAAACATAGATAAGAGAAAACAAGAATTGAATGAATCAACCTAAAACTAGAAGGCCCAATGGATTAAAAATTAATCTCGTCCGGGATCATCATCATTCATCAACATAAGTTATTTGTTGTAATTCATGATAAAAAAAAAAAAAAAGAAGTTATATGGATTGTGTCATAGATCATGAAGTTTTACGAGCAATTGAAATAATTAAATAGTAATATCATTTCAGTAAAGTAAAAAATTTTAAATTTAAATTGTATAACATACGGTGAGATTAAGTTAAAAGACGAAAGAAAATTGTTTTACATTGTACAACTCAAGATAAAAAATCATGAAGTTTTAAAATTCATGTCTAAGAGATAAGATCATGTTATTTTATATTGAATTGACTATATATATGATATAATTTATACTGAAATCAGAGTCATACTGCAATATTAAAGATATTTAAATTGTGGATCTGAAGTTAATTTCCAAGACTAATAATGCAACATGAAGGGTAACCCTTCGATCAAGGTAGGCCCCACAATTGTCCATAAATAATGAACCAATTGAATGCGAGATTGTCACCTTGAGATAGTCCATCGGTTTTACAATACATTTTCCTTCCTTGAATAACCTCATTGTGTCGACATGGTTTGCTTGGAAAACCCTTTGGTTCAAAAGGTCTGCAATCTGTATGAGAAAATTTCCAGCCTAGAAAGCCTCAAACCTTCTAAAGATGTCGACATGCTCCTCACTCATCTTGTTGCTACATGCACACCCCCAAACCCTATTGATGTCACCAAGCTTTGTACAAGAATTCAAGAAATCAGGGCCAATCTGATTAAGTTATGTGGAGAAGCTGAAGGCCATTTGGAGAGTCATTTCTCCTCAATTTTGGGTTCCTTTGAAAAACCTCTTGACCATCTTAGTCTTTTTCCCTACTACAACAACTATCTCAATCTTAGCCAACTTGAATTCAACAGTTTGTCCAAACACTGTCCAAATTTACCCACCAAGGTTGCCTTTGTGGGTTCAGGTCCTCTACCTCTTACCTCTATTTTATTGGCTTCTTTTCATCTCACTTCAACTTATTTCCATAACTATGACGTTGACCCTTCAGCTAATTCCATGGCTTCCAAATTGGTTGCATCTGATCCTGACTTGTTGAAAAGGATGGTGTTCCATACAACAAATATAATGGATGTCACGGATGAGTTGAAGGAGTTTGACGTGGTATTCTTGGCTGCTTTAGTGGGGATTGACAGGGAGGAGAAGGTTAGAGTCATTGACCATTTGGCCAAGTATATGGCTCCGGGGGCAACTTTGGTGGTGAGGAGTGCTCATGGTGCTAGGGCTTTTCTTTATCCTGTTGTCGATCCTTGTGATCTTCAAGGGTTTGAGGTTCTATCGGTCTTTCACCCAACGGATGATGTTATCAACTCTGTTGTCATAGCACGCAAGCATCCAACATTGCAGCCTATTCAGTGCCTGCAGCAACCACTTCTTAGCCCTTTGTAACTCCCTCCCAACAAGTTTCTTTAGATCCAAGCTGTCAATCCTCTGAACCTCGGAAATTTGATCGAGGAATTTGCCGCCAAGAAGCATCTCGCGTGAAGTCTTTCTCTCTCTCTTTCTTTTCCTCTATCTTATGTTCGACATGTTTTGTTGCTTTTCTATATGTTTAATTCTGCTTATCCAATAAGTTGCCATGTATGTTTGATGTTTCCCATTTTGTATCAGTTGGTTGCTTTTCTATAGGCCGCCTGTGTCATCCATAGCTCCTATTCAGGATTTTCGTGCAAGGTTTTCTTTTCATCCAGAAACTAAAGAAGGTGCATTTTAAGTATAAGCAGTAACAAAATGTTCTGGCTTATGGACTGTTTTAGAGCAGCTGTTCTTATTTTTTCCTTAATTCAATGTTTTGACAATCCAAACTGTACCAGGCAGTAAAATATTAATTATTGAATACATCAACTTTCTTCTATTATTAAGTATTTTCATTATTCAATAATTAATATTTTACAGTTTATATATTACAGACTACCAAACACTTTTTTGTTTTTCCTAGCTGAACATTGATTGATACTAGTTAGTTTCATGCGTGTTATTCATCTAATTTTCTTAGTTGGGCCAGAAGCGACCCAGTACTACGTTTGGTCTGAGAAAGAGAGTACAGAAAAGGGACAAACCCAAATGAAAACGACAGCGACTAACAAAGCTTTTACCCCCGTGATTGGGTTGCAGTACTCACCCAAGACTTAGTATTATTATTTTTTAACGAGGTAATTACATTACAATTACATATTAAGAAACAAGGATTAATATTAGTGTTCAAGCTCAAAGGTCGGATCGACCCATACTAGGGAACAAGGATTAATATTAGTGTTCAAGCTCAAAGGTCGGATTGACCCATACCAGGGAACAAGGATTAATGTCAGTGTTCGAGCTCAAAGGTAGGATCGACTACATACTAGAAAACAAGGATTAATGTTAGTGTTCGGTCTGAAGGCAGTATATAGAGGCTACACTACCAAACCTTTACCACTGGACTACAAATGGGATTGGCGCACAGGGCTTAATTTGAACATATCATTGTCTCAAAAGCAAACTATGGATCTCTTAATTCCCACACCGATTTTCTATGTGCATAAATAGAATGACTGAACGGGTCCGGGCTAATTGGGAGCTCGAATCATACTTACTCAACTCGAACTTGAACGAGTATAGTACATTTTGATAAAATTGTTGGATTGAAGCTCCAAGCTTAGTTCATTTAGTAATTAAATGAGTTCGAGTTCTCACCATCTCAATAATTACATTCTTCCATGAGAGATAGCCTCAATAATTAATATACCAAGCAAAACTCCACAGAAGAGAGACTGGGATAATTAACAATTTTTTGGTTATTTCAGAGTTAACTACATACATTCTCTATTTTTTAATATATATAAAAAAGAAAAGAAAAGAAAATATATACTTAAGCATCATGATCAGTTCCGAAGGTTCCATGACCCCCATTATCAAAGAACATAGAGCCTCCTCCAATATGGCTGCCACTTACACCTTCTATAAGTGCAAACCTCATGTCTTCAGATGGCTTCCAGTGCCTCTTCCTCTGGTTTATGAACCAATTGTTTATTTGCTTCTGGTCCAGTCCGGTCATCTCTGATAGCTGCAGTTTCTCCTCTTCCTGCACCAATAACAATGAAAATTTTCCAAAAGACAAATCTAACATTAAACTGCACCAAGACTCAACGCTAATTACTTGACTTATGTTGACCATATTCTATTCTACATAACAGTTTAGTTCTGTCGAGTTGATACTCAAACTATAAAACCTCGATTTTGGTCAAGATCAGATATCCAAATTCCAAACATCTGCCATGGTTAGCAGCTAACCTCTTATGTATTAAAAAAGGAGAATTGATAAAAGAACAAGATTTTGCCAGGTGCAATTACCGTGGGATATGGCCATTTGTAGTGATTGTTCCACCATTGGAGTAGTGTCATCCTTGCATCTTTTGGTAGCTTACCCTTCTTTCTTTTCTTCAAGAAATCTTTTCTCAGGCTGCTAAGATAGCCACTGTATTTTTTCATAAGCATCCCTTTGATGTCCTGATTTCCAGCACGGCTAGCGCTGCTAGAAGATTCTAGACTTTCCCTAACATCCACCTCCCCACAGCTCAACTCTTCCTCTGATGAGCCTCCTGCTTCATCTGAACCAAAAAAAACAAAAAGGCATATATACAATTAGGCTTGGTTTAATATTATTATTGTTTTTGGATTTTGATGGTCTTAGATGTCAAGAAGTTATCAATGCTTTAGCTAAAATAAACGAGTTTAATAATATAATACTCTAGGTTTTCAATTTTGATTATCAATTTCAAAAATTTGTACAAACAAATTTTCAATTTTTATTTTTATTTTTTATTTTTAGTTGTCAATTTTGATTGCTGAAATTTTAACAACCAAAACGGTCATTAAAAAAAATAAGCAAAACAAAAAGCAACAGCAGTCGCGGTCTCACATAACTCTTTTTCGCCTTTCAAAACAAGATGTATTCATAACCAAGATTAGGAAAATTTTGACAAACCAAGTCTTTGTTTTCATTGTTCTACTGCCACCCTAATATACAAGAAAAAACTAATAATTAAAATCTATATTCTACTCCCTTTTTGCCTTTCAAAATTATAAAGTATTTGAACTACAAACCAGAATAATATTCTTTTCTTTTTTAAAAAAAAAATTACCTATATGAAAAAAATATATATATATTTTAACTTTTGCTTAAATTAGGAATTTGTAGACATCTTATGTTATTGCATATGTTACCCTAAAGGAAAAGATAAAATAAATAAAAAAAATTGGTAATAAGATGTACAATTAAGGTTAAGGGATAACAACAATGTTTGAGAAAACAATATTTTTTTTAACCTTAAGAGAATGAAAAAGTACAATTAGTGTGAAAAAAATAAGTGAAAAAAAAAACTAATATTATTATGTAACAAAGAAAGTAAGAAACAACTCATAAATGTTTTCACTAATTAGATCAATAAAAACATTTAAATTATAAATAACATTATCAATTATCATATTCCTTAACAACTAAACCAAATGAGTACATTAATCTCTTTTCAAAATTTAAACTATATACTTAATATTTAATCTATACAGTAAAAAATAAATCTTTACTACATTCATCTCCACCGGTCAAAGTCTTAAAGTCTTACACATTGAGATGCCCCCCTGGTCAAACTAAATTTGTTGGTAATATCAAATTTTAAAACCAAATATAAAATGGTATTTTAACTATTTCAACTACCAAAAAAAGTGTTTTACAATCTAGATTGATCCAGTCCATAAAATATTAACCATTTGATTTGTAAAATATTAACCGTTTGATTAAAGTGAGACCCCTATATTAAGGACTATTCCATATCAAACGAATTACTGGTTTTACAGTCCCAATCAATCTAAATTGTAAAATAAAATTCCCTTTAACTATATAGGTTAAAACCTGAACTAAATTGATTTTAGAACCAAAATCATTTCACAGACAGTGCCTCTTTTACGCAATTATCACTTCTTTTCATGATAAAAACCTGTCTTGCAATATTAACATTTTTAAATTCACAAAGAGAATCTGAAGATTCTCCATGAAACTGTTGTAAACAGTGAAAACCAATAATTCATGAACCATATTTGCATATTTTTACTAAAAAATTTACCGACCGAGAAAAAGTCATTACTTTTTAGTTTACAAGAGCTTTCGAGAATTTTTTTTTTTTAATTTTTCCATTTCCATTTTTAATGTAAGAAACAAACACTGTTATCACAAAGGCAGAAATAGCATTTGATATTTGAAAAAAAAATTACTTATAAGAAGAAAAATAAAAAATAAAGAAGAGTTTATTACCAGATCGATAATCCGATGTTTTTGTCAAAGTTACTTTACAAAGATTACTTAATTGTGATTCGATGTTGCTAAGGAAAGTTGTCGCCTCATCGAACGGCTTCGACAGTTCCTCTTTGTATCTGCGAAGAACCTCACAGTATGATTCCTTCAAAAAAAATAATAATAATATAAATTAAGTATCTTCAAAATTAATCTCTTTTGATTCATAGAATTTTTTTTAAAGAGTAAATAAGGTATTTTTGATTCATAGATTAAGCGTTCAGAATATTATTACAACTAAAGGAACAAAAGAAAATGAAAAAAAAAAAAATATTTAGAATCTATTGATGTTATGGAACTTATTTTTCTCTCATTTTCCCTATATTTTCTTGGCAACCAAACAAATAAAAGGGTTTGCTTTTATTATTAATTAACTCCTAAGACTATTCAAGTCAATCTCACTAATTTCAAAAAGTCTAAATCTTGAGGCCAAATTCAACTCGCAATCTAAAGTTCTTATAAGTTGAGACACAGCTTTAAGTTAATTAAGAAAACAAGATTAGATTTTAAAGTGCAAGAAAAACAAAATACCATGAACTCATCAAGCTCAGGATCAACTCCTATCTCGTTATAACCACTTATTGGGTGGTTTTCCCGGCCAATTTCTTCCAGAAGAGATGCCAGCTCTGGCGGTGCTCCGACCTGTAATGGTCCGTATACACAGAAAATACACACCAAGAGCTTAGTCAGTAGACATCCACTAACTAGTTATATAATTAAAAAATGATTTTGAAGTAAAATTTATGCAACAGCACATTTTTTAAAACAAATTTATTGATTAAAAATAGTAGCAATAACCAGGATAATTAAAAATAAAGAAAAAAAAGTAAGGAGTATGTATAAAATAATAAGGGGAGTAGGAGCCGTGCCTTCTGGCATTCTATGTATGCAGAAACTAGGTTTGGATAACGGGGGTGACTGGCGATCTGGGTCTTGAGCAGATCGGACATATCCGATCCGGCGACATCTGAGTCGGCCCCTCCGTTGAATTGAAGGAGACTGTCACCCGGGCCATGAAAACCACTACCACAGCCTGCGGCTGCGAAATCTCCCGGGAAACCTTCATGAACCCTCACAATATTATCATCATTAGAACATGATATTGTAGGATCACCAAACCTGTACAAGTCATCCATAAAATTAACCCTAGAAGAGAATTGATAAATGGCCCTAGAAATCACAAACTGGGAATTTTTTTCACTCGACACTCTCAAAGAGAAAATCCTGGGAGATTTTTGAACAAACTGCACCACCAGAACAGAGAAGAAAAACAGCTAGCCGCCATTAGAGAAGGAGATTTAAGTTTCTTGGGTGATTTTCTCGGGAAAGTTACATGATGGGTAGAAGAAGAGAGAACCATACTATTACTACTACAGGAGACATCTAAAGATCAGGTTGAGGAGAAAGCAGAGTTCATTAAAATAAGTGGCAGAGAGGAGACCTGAGTTTCCTTTTCCTAGCAAAACCTAAGAAAATAGAAGGAGAGAGGAGTTTGATGGTGCTTTAATTTACGCTTTGCAGAAGAAGAACATAAGTTTCTGAGAGGGGTCTGACCACACGTGCTCACACGTTCTGAAACAGTAGTGCCAAATTTCCATTCATTCATCCATTGTATGTCAGATATATCATATTGTAGGAAGAGCAAACATGTTTTTTTAGCAGCATTCGCCAACAGTTTGGGTTTTTTCTTTTTTTTTTTTACAGAAAAAGAAAATAATATTGCAAAAGAGAGTACAAGGCATGCCAAAACCCGTTCACTACCAACAGTTAAATGGTTAAAGAACTCCAATTTCTATATATAATTCGTAAACAATAAAGATTTTGAAAATACGTAAGATTTTATTATTTAAAATTTAAAGTTTGTGTTTATTTGTTTTATTTTTTAAAAATTGTAAAAATATCATTATTACACCCTATCATTTTGAAATGATTATAATTTTAAAATAATTTTTTTCATAATATTTAAGAGGTAAAGTATATGAAAATTTTTCTTTTAAAATGAAAAAGTATTTATTTATTTTATCTCTTAAAAATTAAAAAAAAAACTGTAAATTTATGTTATTCAAATAAATTTTTATTAAAAATTTAAAATATCTTATTTTGAAAGTATAGATTAAAATATTTAGTATTATTTATTATTGTTTTTATTAAAACAATAATTTTAAAATTATTTTTTCTTAATTTTAAAAAGTGAAAAAATAATAACTAATTTTTAAAAAAACATATGAAATAGTTTTATATTAATTAATTTACTTAATTAAAATTTTTAATTATTAATCATATGTTATGTAAAAGTGTAATTTAAACACTGCGAATAAACTTATTGTATGAAACTAATTTAGACAACAGTGGAGTAGCATTTTAATTTACTATTGCATAAAGCAAAGTTTCTTTATTCTGGGTTTGAATGTGTAAATTTAATTTATAAATCTTGATATTTTATTACTTATTTGCAATTAATAAAAAGTAAAGACCAAAGATTAAAAAAAAAAAACTTTAAAACAAAAATAAATCTCAAAATACCCTTTTTTTATGTAATAAAAATCACAAAATACAATTCTTTAGTCATCTTAGAAAGTTTATATCAATAAAACCTTAATTGAATTAGTATCTTTTAATAATTTAAAATTTAAATT